GGAATGTGGCTAGAGGCTGAGGGGGGCCTCATGATTCCTTTTCAGGGGGCCCTGGTGAGGGTTTTCTATATGCTGGGGGACCTGTGATGCTTCCGGTTCTGCGCCCCAGGGCACTTGTGTCACAAGGGATGGGACCGGGTGCGTCAGCGAGCGGGGAGGCTACAGGAGCTGGCAAGGGAAGGGGCCAGGTGGGGCAGTGATCTGGGGGGCTCAAAGAATGGGTGGGGGATGGGTCCCCCCATGGTCCCTTCCCCCCTCCTCCAGCCCTCCCCACCCCCTGCTTACCAGCATGGAGCCCAGGTCCAGCTTCCTGTGGCTGGCATGCTGCCTGCCTTGCACAGGCAAGCAGCGTGCTTCAGCACTGGGGCAAGGGCCAGCCACAGCAATGCTCTGGCTGGTTACCAGAGCGTCTCTGTGGAGGACCTGAGCCTCCAGTTGCCTGCCCCGCTTTTTTTGCCTGGGGTATTTTTTGCCCCCTGGATATCCAGGGGTCTAATTTTGCCCCCCACGCTGCAAATTTGCAGTCGGGGAACGTTTTTTTTGTTCCCACACGTGCCTCTTGCAATATCTCAATGGGCTTTGAGATGCTGTAAGAGGCACATGTGCGCTTGTCTGGACACACCCACGATGGCTTGTTACTCAAAGAATCATAGAAAAGTAGGGTTAGAAAAGACCTTTAGAGTTCATCTAGTCTAACCCCCTGCCTGAGGCAGGATCAGCACTATCCAAACTGTTCTATGCAAATCTATTGTCTATCCTATTAGCTAAACTACACAGTCAACCCTGACACAACACAAGACACAACACCCTAACCTGCCACAGCTAAAGCAGAGGGACCATGGCGACCAATGTCTTGCTGCTGCAAGGCTTGTTAAAATATGCTGGAGAGATCCAAAGAAGAGAACTATGCCTCCCCACTATAGAAGATGGCAAAACCCCCACACAGTCCATACCAATTTAACCATAGGGTAAAATTCCTACCTGATGCCCTCACTCCTGACCCACAGTCCCCTGCCCCCCTAGGCCATGCTGGTACCCTTCACTCCCAACCCACAGCTCCCTGTCCCCCTCAGCCTTGCTGGGGGGGGGGGGGGGGGGGGGGGGGGCTAACTGCCCCCCACCCCACTTGGGCTGGAGTGGGATGGCTGCAACAGTGAGTGAGTCCAGCCCTGGCACAGGCCGGAGGGAAGAGGAGGGAAGGCCTGTGGCACCTTCAGACCTGAGCTAAGGCTCCTGCACCATGCCAGGCAGTCTAGTCACAGCCCCCCCCCAAGCAATGTCTCCTGGTCACCCCACCCCTGCAAGTACAGGCATTGGCCCCGATGCTGCCGGCCCAGCCATGCAGCTCCCCACTACCCCCAAAGAATCCTCCTGCCATCCCCTTCCCCCACCTTTCCCCAGTGCCAGCAGGCACCCCCCCCACCACCACACATGCACCCATCCATCGCCACCTACACACACACTCCTGGACGGTCCCCAAGTCCTGGCCCTCCAACCCCACCAAAAGTGGGGTCTTGCAAGGATTTGTTCTAGGCCCTATTTTGTTCGACATTTTCATTAATGATCTGGAAATGGGGATGCACAGTAAAATCTCTAGGTTTGCAGATGGTACCAAATTATTCCAGGTAGTCAAGTCCCAAGCTGACATACAGGAGCTGCAGAAAGATCTCACCAAGCTAAGTGAGTTGGCAAAAAATGGCCACTGAACTTCAGTGTCAAGAAGTACAAGGTAATGTACTGGGGAAAATAACCTTAACTATGTATACACAGTACTGGATTCTGAACTAGGTTTTATGACTCAGGAAAGGGACCTTGAAGTCACTAGATAGTTCCTAAAAAATATCAGCTTGGTATGCAGCAGCAACTAAAAAAGCTAATAAAAGAGCTGACTAATTAGCTCAGCAGTAAATGTCTCAATGTCTACATGCGCACCCCTGTTAGGGCAAAGGAAACTAATAAACCCTTGTAAATAAAAGTACTACTCTGCTGTGGAGTTTTTTCATGCACAACAGAGCACATGTTGACACTGACCCAGCTGGCTGGAGCACAAGGGTGCTTCAGTGTGGGGGGGCTGCCTGCTGGCTACCCCCAACACTAAAGCACCTTTGTGCCCCAGCCAGCTGGTCCGCAGCACATTAAGCCCGGTCAGAGCAGCCCTGGGCTGGCAGGCTGACCCCCAGGGTCCCCTGCTAGCCAGGGCTGCTCTGACGAGGCTCCACATACTGCACATGAATAAATGCTGGAGCTGATTGCTCTGGAATTAATTGCTCCATGGAGCACCTTCAAATAGCATCCAGGAGCAAAAAACTCCAGAGCGATAAGTTCTGAACTTTATTCATGTACACTAATTGTACATGTAGATGTACCCATTAAGAAGGGAATTGAAAACAAAGCAGAGAACATCATCATGCCATTACAACAAATCTATGGTAAGCCCATATCTTGAATACTGTGTGCAGTTCTGGTCCCCATATCAAAAAAGGACGTAGTAGAAAAGTGATAGAGAAGGGCAGCCAAAATGAACAGGTGCCTGGAGCAGTTGTCATACCAGAAAAGACTAAAAAAAGCTAGGACTCTTCAGTTTCAAAAAGAGAAGACTAAGAGGGGACATAACAAAGGTCTATAAAATCATGATTGTTATGGACCAAATGAACAGGGAACTATTGTTCACCAAATCCCAGAATACTAAAAATAGGGAGCACCCGCTGCAGTTAGAAGTGACAGGTCTAAAACAAACAAGATAAAGTATTTTTTATGCAACACACAGTTAATTTATGGAATTTGTTGTCACAGGAGGTGGTGGAGACAGATAGCATAGGCAGGTTCACAAAGGGACTGGATGAATTCATGGTTATTGATCTATGAATAGTTGTTGAACAGAATGGCTAGAGATGTTTCCTCTGGCATCTCTAGCCCAATCACTTGTAGATGCCAGGGAGGGAGTTAAGTAGATCACTCTAGAAATACCCAGTTTGATGCTCCCACTATGCAGCATCCACTTCTGCCCTGTTGGAGACAGGATACTGGGCTAGATGGACCAAAGGGTCTGACCCCTATGGCACATATGTTGTCACTGTAGATGATCAGTAGGTAGCACTCTGGCTTGGCAGGTATGCAGCTCTGTGCATGTCTACCTGAGTATAAATCTCAAAACTGTAGCAGGAAAAAAAAAACTCATGCCCAGTGGGTGTTAGGCAATGGGCAGTGAAGGACAGCCCAAGAAGTGAAGGCCAGTTCTAGGTCCCTGTCATGTGGGAAGGGGGAGGGATGTTGAGCACATGGGCAGAATCTTATTTTTCCATACTCACCCAAATGGTAATTACCCAGCCACATAACCATTATTTTTAGCACTTATGCCTAGTTATTTATCCCATTCTATGTGCAGCATGGGTACAAAAGTGTTCAGGTGGTTATTGAGTATGAGCAGTAGGCTGCTTCCTGTCCCAGCAGGTACACGACTCTGTACACATGTACCCAAGCATATATCTCAAAACTGTAGCCTGACAAAAATCAGGAGAGGATCACATATGTTTTACTCCAGCAACCTAGTAGTTAAGGCACTGCAGGAAGCAGAAGATGCAGGTTCTAGCCTCCACCCGTAGAATGGGTTTGAATCTGCATCTCCCGAGCAGCACAGTGCTCTAAACACCTGGCCACTGGTTAAGTTATAGTTCTGCAGGGCACCCCAAGAGGAAGAGCAGAAACCACCTGCATCAAAATAGCTAAATCAGTTGCAATTCATTGATGTTATCTGGTGCAGTTCTGTGCATGCACACCTTCATTCTGGAGTGTCTTAGGGTAAAGTTACACTTTACACTTAGCCCATACTAAATCTGTGGAATGTTAAGCGACGTTGAGGTTAGATTGTGCTGTGAGCAGTTGCATGATAATGATTAATACCATTTCTTGCCTCAGAGCTCTGACTTGCCACTAGAGGGCTGGTGAGCAGGGGCATGGCTAGAAGCCAAGACACCTGGTTCCATCCCCACTCAGAGGGCAGGGGAGCAGGAAT